ACAAAAGTTGGAAAAATAATTATTTTCATGGAAAATAATAACTATCAAACAGCAAAAGATGGAAAAAGACTATTTTCTATGTTGAAAATTGAGTCAATCAAACACATTTAATTGACATTTTCCATGTAAATAATTTCTAGGCAATTCAATTGCCTAGAATTTATTTTCTTTCCATGTAAATTCCATGCTTGCAATCAAACACACCCCATGAAATATAGATTTTGAAGTTTTGAAATGCAAAGTGATTCAACCATGAAAAGATCTTGAAATTCATCATTTCAAGAAGTTTCTTGACCCGAAATTCATGCTAAAGAATACTGCAATTTCTTACAAAGAGATCATAAATAACAAGCATCAAGCATATAAAATGAAACAGCAACTAGAACAATTATGAACACTTAAATTGCAATCCATGAAGTGGGTTGGAGATCCTCTTAGTAGCCACAGATGATTTTTGAAGTCAACGATAACCATTTGGCCAGGTTCATAATCGTGACCGCTACATACATAAATACATACATGTGGATAGAGTGGTTATTTCCTTGTCAAAAACCTTGCACAACTTTTAATGTTCTTCCAGAGCTTCAAAATTATGACGGCTACAACTTGATCAACATCGTAGATGAGCAGAAAAATATGAAACATGTAATGCAGGCATTGCCATTAGAGAACATCAAGTTAAATGAAAAAAAATGCTATTCTTGCATCGAAATTAGAGATGGAAACTGAGAGCATTTCTCACTTCCAAATGAAGTGTTATTCTCGAAACCTCAGCAGTCCAAAGTCGAATTAAGCATTATTCTACCCTCAAAAGTAGCCTATTCTAGTGAGAGAATTTTTTTTTGTGGGTTGTGTGTGGAATATCTCAGTACAATCTTCTTGTTGAGAGCAACAAAACCTGTGGCCATAAGAACTTGTATTCAACCATGGTCAGCAGCGTTCATTAGCATATTACTAGTGATAGCGCTAATTTTTATTGCACTTTAAGGACTATCTTCATGAACTCGTAGACAAAATAACTAATGGCAGCCGATGGTAAAACCTGAAAAATTGAAACATAAAGAACGGGAATTTAACATGTTAAAAAGGGGATTGTGATGAAGTATTTCACGTAATGTATTACCGTCTATGGATTAAAAAATATTCTACATCAATGAGCAAAAATAGCAAAGGAACGTGAGTGCAGGTTCCAGCAAAGCTTAAATCACAATTAAGCTGGTCAAACATTCTTTTTATCTATACATTTTGTATAATCCGGAGATACTACCTACTTATCATCCGAACATTAAGTAGGATCCACCACTCATAAGCACTTAAAAACATTATCAAAGTATTGGAATAGCACTCTAAGGAACATAAACTATCGTGTATCTTTTTTGTGCTTCATCTTACTTATTGGTCTTGGCTCCTAACAACGATATCACCAATATGTATTATGATGTATACCCAACAAGATAATCAAGTCCAAAAAACTAAATTATAGATATTTGAAAATAAAATTAAGGAAATTCTCGTATCAACTTAAGATATTATGCCTTTTGTTCATCAGATTAAGAAGTTCGAAGACAGCTAAAAATTTCAATGCATATAGGGAAGGTAGCAGAAAGGTGTGCCTCTTACCTGTAATAAGCTCGGGACAATCCAGCATAGAGTGCAGGAAAGCCACCCTGTTCGACTATCTTAATGCAAGTTTGTAATGCATTCATCTTCGTTGCTCGAACTT